AAAGCTAGAGCCCTGCCCCGTCCACATGTGTTTACCAATTATTTGAAGAAAACTATCTGAGCCTTGGCCGGTGGTGCTCAGTGGTTGGAGCATCGGCGCACACACCAAAGGTTCACAGGTTCCATTCCCGGTCAAGGGCACATACCTGGCTTGCAGGTTCAGTGCCCAGCCCCAGGCAGGGCACTTGCAGGAGGCAACCAATTGATATGTTTCTCTCACATTAATGTTTCTCTTTCCCTCTCTCTCTCTTCCCCCCCCCCATTCCCTTCCATCCTCTCTCTAAAAATCAATGGAAAAAAATATCCTCAGGTGAGGATTAACAAAAAGCAAACAAAACAAAAAAATGATTTGAAACAATAAAAAACTGTTATTAGTGATTACTTCTGGCCAGTAGGTTTAGGGGGCTATGTTGCAACAGGGATAGTTGGTTTGGGTTCTTTTCACTTCACACTCCTTTGTCGGGCATGTGGTGGTTTCAGATTACACCCACGATTGAAATGTCTAATTCCAGAGTCCGAGCTCGCAACCTCCAAACTGTATGGCTTCTCCCCACGCCCACACAGGTGACCCTGGCAGGCTATGCCTTTGCCTTCCGCTATTCCCCAGGCGGCGAGCACGTGGCCTACAAGGAAGGCAGCAGGAGCCCACATGAGGGGGACCTGGAGTTCATTAGCATGGACCTGCACAAGGGATGCGGTAAGCAGCCAGAGAAAGGGTTTAGGACTGTGGAGACATGCTTTTCATACGAGAGCAGCTCTAGGTTTTCACAGCCACAGACAGCAGATGACCAGACACTGGGGTCACCTAAGGGAGCCATGACAGGGATTCAAAATTAAGAATGGGTGGGGTCAATGGGCGGGAGGGGACATCTGTAATACTTTCAACAATAAAGATTAAAAAAGAAAAAAGAATGGTGTCCCCAAGCATTAGGAAGTTGTGGGTAGTGGTTCAGCACCAAGGACGGGGGGCTGCTGGGCACGAGGAAGCCTGGCAGGTCGCGAGGTTCCCATTCAGGATCTGGTGTGGACTTGGAACACGAGAGTTGCTCCAGAGTCCTCCAGGAGAGCTGCTGAGGAAGCAGTTGGCTATCTGTGTCTGAAACGCAGGACTGAACTGTGGGCAGAGACTCAGATGTTGACAGGATCTCAGGAGTTGTCAGCGGAAGCCCTGGGAGAGGAATGAGGTTATCCACGGGAAGTGTACGGAGTGAGCAGAGAGCCCAGGGCAGATTCCGGGAGGAGGTCTCAGCCCCTCTTTCCCAGATCCCGTGATACCATGGCCATCGGTGGGCCAGCCTGCATCCTCCCCCCAGATGGGGCTCTGAGCTCACCCAGGAAGGCCTGGCACAGTCAGCTCTGTGTTTGTGGAGTGCTTACATGAATTGTCTAAATCGTGACATTAGGTTGCGTAAGAAAAATAAAACCCAGTGGTCTAGCTCCCCTACTGAGGCGGTATTCAGTGTCCACCCTCCTGGGCTCCTTCATGCCCTGTTGTGTCTTCTGTAGCTCAGGTCATCCCACGATATAACCATCGCCCCCACTAGACTGAAGGACTGGGACCCAACCAAACTCTCATCTAGAATTTGAGAAATTGGATGGGGCCTGGCGCACGGGGCTCTGCAGGCTCATTGAATGCATGGGTGCATGAACGAAAGAGAGTAGATGGGGAGTGAGCTAGTGAGTGCGGGATGAAGGGATAGTGAGGGCGTGAATGAGAGTAACAGGCTCATGAGCTTGAGTAGGCGAAAGAAGAGTGGATGAACAGATAGCCCCTATGGTTGGGTGGTTGGGTGTGTGAATACACGGTTGAGTCAGTGAGAGGGAGAAAGGAAGGGGGTGGACGTGCAGTGAGTGGAGCATCCAGCCTGAGCTGCCTCCTCTTTCCTCCCTCCCCAGGGCCCTCCCGCCGCAGCGACCTCCAGGCCCTGGGCTACTGTTTGCTGAAGTGGCTCTACGGAAACCTGCCGTGGACAAAATCCCTTCCCAACACCGAGGATGTCATGAAGCTGAAACAGAGGTGAGTCTGGGGTCAGCAGAGCCCAGCACGGGCCCAGCACCCATGCAGCTGGGGCAGAAGCTCCGAACCCAATGAACAGATTCGGGGAGGCGCTATCCAGCAGAGCCAAGGCCCCTGCCGTCCTCAGGCGTGCTCTGCCGTCTGTTCCAGCAGTCAGAGCGTGGGCTCCGGAGCCACGCTGCCTGGGTCAGACTCCGGCCACACCACGGCAAGCCTCAGTGTCCTCAGTGAGATGGGATTCTATTGGCACCCACTGAAGGGGGCTGTGGAAGGATTCAGGAGAGTCAGGCACACAGCACTCAGCAGAGCCTGGCCTGTAGAAGATGTCATCGTGCCCTGGACACCATGACTCATTCATTCCTTCACGGGCATGTGGGCAACCTGAGCAGTTAGGTCTGGGCCCTGCCTCAGCATCAGATAACACCAGCCACCCATGTTCATTTTTTAAAATTTATCTTTATTGTTGTAAGTATTACAGATGTCCCCCTTTTCCCCCCACTGACTTCTTCTACCCCCCTCCCACCCTCTCCCCAGGCCTTTACCACACTATTGTCTGTCCATGGGTTATACATATACTAGAGGCCCGGTTCACGAATCCGTGCAGGGGTAGGGTCCAGCCGGCCTACCCGATGGGGGGTCCGGCCAATTGGGGATGGGGCCAGCCAGGGGGAGGGACCATGGGCGGTTGGCCAGCTGGCCCCACCCCCTGGTCAAACTCCCAGTCGAACTCCTGGTCGAGGGGACAATTTGCATATTAGGCTTTTATTATATAGGATGCATACAAGTTCTTTGGTTAATCCCTCTGCGCCCCCTCCCTCCCTCTGAAGTACATCAATCTGTTTCATGCTTCAATGTCTCTGGATCTATTGTTTGTCTTCACACTTTCCCTCCTCCCCTCTGCACACAAAACCACCAGATCCTGCTAGTTCCGGTTTTTTTTTTAGACATTCAGTACCAAGGACAGTGCTCTGTTGGCTGCAAAAGGAAGTGCTGGGGTATGAGGTTCAGCACCAAAGACAGAGGCACCTGTTTGCAAAGGAAAGTAGGAAAGTGCTGCGTGTGGGGTTCAGCACCACGGACAGGCCATCTGGGCTCAGGGAAGTGAGCAAAGGGGACTGTGGTCCTCAGCACCAAGGACAGTCAGTGGACAGCTGGACACAGGAAGTGCTGCAGGTACAGAGGCTGGGACTCAAAATCTGGTATAGACTTGGGGGCTGAATTGCCCAGGAGTCATCCAGGAGGGGTCATCCAGGAGACGTTGGCTATCGATGTCTGAAGTGCAGAAATGAAGTCTAAACGGAGACTCAGACCTCAGGTATCTTGGGAATTGTCAGCAGAAGCCCTAGGACTGGGTGCTGAGTGGGAAGAGGGAAAACTCCCCAGTGAGCAGCATTGGGTCCGTGGTGCTTCTCAGTTCTCGGCGTGCTGTGCCACTGGTTCATCGTGAGCCTCTCTCGTTTTATTTTGCCATTTTTATGTCCCCCATCTTCCTCCTCTCAACCGTGGACACCCACTCAAACATGCTTAACACATGTTCTGCTGATACGCCTGCTTAAATGTATTTGTGCCCTTAAACTTGCACGATGATCATGGTACTGTGTGTGACTCCCATAAATGGTATTCTCTAAATCTCGTCTGTTTCTGGCTTTTTTCGCTCAGCACTGTGTCCTTCAACTTTAATCCCATCATGACATGTGCGTTGAGTTTACTGCAAGTTTGTATAGACATGTCTGTGTCCTTGAACAGTGTCTGATGAGTGTATTTCGTTTGCAGAAGCAGTACTCGGCTCTGAATGTCATTTTTTCTTGCTTTCTTCCCCTCGCTGCTGTATGTTGTAACTTTCAGCGACATTGCTAGTTCACTACCACTGAGTACTTCTACGTTTGTCTGTTTAAATGAATCTGTGTCCTTGAAATATATTCACGGTGTTGTTGGGTGTGTGTTTGGCATCAATGGTCCCGAGCCCTGAATCTCATCCTCCTTCAGGTTCCAGCTTCATCGTCACTCCCCAGGGAGCCCTTCCCTTCCCCCCTCAGGTCTCCTGCTCGTGCACACCCAGAGGGAGGGACGTGCTCCGGTCACATTGGCCTGCTCGTAAAGGCCTGTTCAAGGCTAACGTGTACCATGCCCTTGTCTGCACCAGGCACTGTGCCCAGTGCGTCTCTGCGTCGTCATCAGGACAGTTCAGAAGTAAGTGCAGCGACGATCTGAGGCACAGGGAGCTTAGGTAACCAGCCAGGTCACACAGCTTCCAGGCAGAGGCGCTAGACTCACACCCAGAGAGGACCCTTTCCCCTCAAAGCCAGTGTCTCCCGAGTGTGGGGGCTCATCTCGGGTGGACTGGTGGTGTTTGCACACAGCCTTCCTCCCCTGCGCAAATAGGTGTTGAGCACCTACTATGCTTCAGGCTCCATTCTAGGCCTCAGGGCACAGGAATGATAAGACACACATCCCTGGCCCTGGGAACTCACACCTGTTGGTGGGAGAGACGGTGAAGAGATAAAGAGTGAAACACAGAGCATGTCAGATCCAACTGGGGGGTGGTCAGGTCAGAGCCTGGGGCCCCCAGTGGGACAGTCAGGGTGTGGGCATGTGCCGCTCTTTTAGATTTGACGGCCAGGGCGGGTCTCATGGCAAAGGCGACGGGTCAATCCCTCCCAGAAGGGCGGTGAGGCAAGGAGCTCTCACTGTGGTGCTGACAGGCCCTAACGTCTCTGTGGAAGGGAGGAGGGAGGGAGACGGTGGGGGAGAAGCTTTCACTCCCAGGCTTCCACACGCACCTCTGCGTCAGAAGCGCTGCGGAGCCTGGGCCACTGCCTGCTCCCTGAGGATTCATTGTCGCACTCCTTTTATAGTTTCTCATTGTTGAAGTGAAGCCAGGTGAAAACAGCGAGTTGGAGTGAGTAACAGGCAGTGGGGCGTCCTGCCCGGGGGCTAAGCGCTCAGTGAGACTGAAGTTCGCGACCTGCCCCTTTGCCTCTCTGTGGTGTTACTCAGGGACAAGGAGACCCCGAAGCACTGTGGCTCAAATGAGGTGGATGTTGACTTCCCTCTGGCTAAAAGTCCTAAGGTGGGAGAAAAAGGCGGTGGGTGCCTCCGCCCCTCAGCCCATGTCCTCTGGGCCTAGCTCTGTGGCCACAGTCTCCCATTACTTTTATTTTTTAAATATATTTTTTTATTGATTTCGGAGAGGAAGGGAGAGAAAGAGAGAGAGAAACATCAATGATGAGAGAGAATCATTGATCGGCTGCCCATGCATGTTTTTTTCTTGCTTTCTTCCCCTCGCTGCTGTATGTTGTAACTTTCAGCGACATTGCTAGTTCACTACCACTGAGTACTTCTACGTTTGTCTGTTTAAATGAATCTGTGTCCTTGAAATATATTCACGGTGTTGTTGGGTGTGTGTTTGGCATCAATGGTCCCGAGCCCTGAATCTCATCCTCCTTCAGGTTCCAGCTTCATCGTCACTCCCCAGGGAGCCCTTCCCTTCCCCCCTCAGGTCTCCTGCTCGTGCACACCCAGAGGGAGGGACGTGCTCCGGTCACATTGGCCTGCTCGTAAAGGCCTGTTCAAGGCTAACGTGTACCATGCCCTTGTCTGCACCAGGCACTGTGCCCAGTGCGTCTCTGCGTCGTCATCAGGACAGTTCTGAAGTAAGTGCAGCGACGATCTGAGGCACAGGGAGCTTAGGTAACCAGCCAGGTCACACAGCTTCCAGGCAGAGGCGCTAGACTCACACCCAGAGAGGACCCTTTCCCCTCAAAGCCAGTGTCTCCCGAGTGTGGGGGCTCATCTCGGGTGGACTGGTGGTGTTTGCACACAGCCTTCCTCCCCTGCGCAAATAGGTGTTGAGCACCTACTATGCTTCAGGCTCCATTCTAGGCCTCAGGGCACAGGAATGATAAGACACACATCCCTGGCCCTGGGAACTCACACCTGTTGGTGGGAGAGACGGTGAAGAGATAAAGAGTGAAACACAGAGCATGTCAGATCCAACTGGGGGGTGGTCAGGTCAGAGCCTGGGGCCCCCAGTGGGACCGTCAGAGTGTGGGCATGTGCCGCTCTTTTAGATTTGACGGCCAGGGCGGGTCTCATGGCAAAGGCGACGGGTCAATCCCTCCCAGAAGGGCGGTGAGGCAAGGAGCTCTCACTGTGGTGCTGACAGGCCCTAACGTCTCTGCAGAGGGAGGAGGGAGAGAGACGGCGGGGGAGAGGCCTTCACTCCCAGGCTTCCACACGCAACCTCTGCGTCAGAAGCGCTTGGGGGATCCAGCCCGCAACCCGGGCATGTGCCCTTGACCGACATCAATCCCGGGACCCTCTGTCCGCAGGCCGACGCTCTATTCGCTGAGCCACAGCGGCCAGGGCTCCCATTACTTTAAAGGGCGGGACCAGAAATGATACGTGACTCTCGGCCGCCCTGTGCTGCAGTGGGCTGGGGAAGCGTCTCTGCCTGTGGCGGCTGACCCTTGGGATTCTGCCTTCAGAGGGGAGATGACGGGGGCAGGGAGCAGGTCCTCCGCGGGGCCATCGTGAGTCAAATGTCCGTGAGGGCAGGGGCCACATCCGCTGTCTTCACCGCTGTGCTGTTCACAGCGCAGTGCTTGGCCTGTTGTGAGTGCTTACGGAATAGTTGTGGAATGCATACATGAGCCTTCATCCTCAGGCCTGGGCTTCTGTGTAGACACACAGGTCGGACAGACGTGCCCCAGCCCTGCAGGGGTTCCCGTGCTGGAGGAGACACTCAGGCAGGAAGCAGACTCTGCATGTGATGTGGCGGCCCCCAGGGCATTGTGGGAGCAGCGGGAGGCACGTGACCTGGCTTTGGGCCGGGAGGAGCCTGTACCCAAAAGGTGCCTGACCCAGTCTGTAGAGAGCAGAGTTGTTTCCCAGGCAGGCAGGGGGAACAGGATCTCCAGGCAAACAGGGTAGCACTAGCAATGTTTTCCCAGGGCATCTGTGTGCCAGCCCCTGGGCTGGGAATGCTGGGAATCAACTGGGCGGACCTCCTGTCTCAGCAAAACCACCTGCTGAGGCTCCCCTGGGCTGAATCCTCTCTCCTTCTGCTTCCCCTGACTCCTCAGAACAGTCATATCTCCCATTTCACGTCTCTCCCACCTTCTCCTTCACCAGAGATCATTGATGACCTCAGTGCCTCGCTGAGAGGCTCTGCAGTCGCCATGTTGATGCAAAGTAAATGAAATAGGTCTCAGTAATAATTAGATCTTATTTTTTATTTATTCTCACCCAAGGACATATGTTGTGGGGGGGGCGGTTTATTGATTTTAGAGAAAGGGTAAGGGAGAGAGAGAGAAACATCAATAGTTGCCTTCTGTACACACCCTGACTGAGGATCAAACCCACAACCTAGGCATGTGCCCTGACCGGGAATCGAACCTGAGACTCTTCGGTGTATGGGATGATGCTCCAACCACCTGAGCCACCTGGCCAGGGTGGTCCTAGTAATCATTTTAATATTGATGATCTCAATATGAACAACAGTTCATTCTAGAGCCCCAGGTCTCAACCACAGCCACAAAGGGAGGGCCAGGCATGAAAAGATGCTCCCTGGAGAGATGTGGGCGGTAACATAGCTGTCATCCTGGACCCCGCAGTCACCGAAAGAACCACGAGGGGGCGATGTTGGCACGTGCAGGTTTCCTGGAACCCTCACTTCTCCAGGACTTCTTACTGGTGTGTGTGGCCTTTTCCCATTCATTCAACAAATATTGATTCATTTTGTTGTGCCTCCCAGTTCATGACAGAATGAATGACTAGAAGAGACAGTATGATGCCTGAGGCTTTCTGGTGCGTGAAGCCCCAGCTGGGAAAGCACAGATAGGACTCAGGTTTGGTCCCTGCTCTTGAGGCTGCCAACCGGGCAGGAAAGCCCCACGGACACTGACAGCGACAGCCAGTTGTGGGGAGGAGTGCTTTTCGGGCCATCGCTCACCGCCTCCTTCCTTCATTCACCACACATCCTGCGGCTGCGGGAGAAACGGGTCAGACCCAGCCCTTCCTGTACACGTACCCTGCCGGTTGCTCTAGGGCAGTGGTTCTCAACCTTCCTAATGCCGCGACCCTTTAATACAGTTCCTCATGTTGTGGTGACCCGCAATTTCATTGTTACAAATTGAACATAATTAAAGCATAGTGATTAATCACAAAAACAATATGTAATTATATACGTGTTTTCTGATGGTCTTAGGCGACCCCTGTGAAAGGGTCGTTCGACCCCCAAAGGGGTCACGACCCACAGGTTGAGAACCGCTGCTCTAGGGCATCCGTGGACCTGTGCAGAGGGTGCCCTGACATTCAGGAGGGATTGGCTTCCTCTGTCTGGGCGGGGGGCGGGGGGTTAAGCTTCCCCAGACCAGCCCTTGAGCTGTGTCCCGAAGGGGGAGCAGCCACTGAGTGGGGTCAAGGCGGGGAAAGGCCGTCCAGGGCAGAGGGAGCATTTTGTGCAGAGACCAGAAGATGCAGGTGGATGTTTGAGCCCTTTGGGGGACTAGCTGTTTGGAGCTGTGTCCCGAAGGGGGAGCAGCCACTGAGTGGGGTCAAGGCGGGGAAAGGCTGTCCAGGGCAGAGGGAGCATTTTGTGCAGAGACCAGAAGATTCAGGTGGATGTTTAAGCTGTTTAGGGGACATCTGTAATACTGTCAGTAATAAATCTATATATGTAAAGTTTGGTATGGCTGGAGCATGAGATGGAGGGAGGCAGGCAGAGAGACAAGGCCAGGGGAGCTGGCATGCGTGCCAGGGGCTTTTCCTGGGGAGCCCGGGAGGGCTGTGAGCTGGGAGGGGCAGGGGCAGCCCTGGGTGTAGAAAGACTCTGGGGCCATGCACAGGAGGCTGGGGAGGAGGCTGAGGTCCGGGGAGAGGATGAGGCCTGAGCCGAGCCCAGAGCCATGCACAGAGGGGGGCTTGGGGACGTCTGGGCCGTGGGGGAAGGGAGGGCAGCGCCCAGCGGCCGGGTGCACACTGGGGAGTCCAGGCCAGTGAAGGTACAGTGCGCTGGGCTCAGCGTGGAGCACAGGACTTTTTTCCCGAGGGGGGCGGGGGGGGGGGGTGTTGTTTATACACGTATATGTGTACAAATATTTGTGTGTGAATAGATAGTCAATCCTTATTATTCACAGATTTCATATTTGTGAATTTGCACGTTCACTAAAATGTATTTGTAACTCCAAAATCAAACCTTGCAGTGTTTTCGTGGTGGTTCTCAGACATACGCAGTGTGGAGGAAAAAGATTTTTTATGTATTTTTAATGATTTTCAGAGAGAGAGAGGAAGGGAGAGGGAGAGAGAGAAAAATCAATGTGAGAGAGAAACCAATTGGTTGCCTCCTGCATGCACCCCAACCAGGGATCAAACCCACAACCTGGGTATGTGCCCTGGAGAGGAGTCAACCAGCAACCTTTGGTTTACCGGGCAATGCCCAACCCGAGCCACACCGGCCAGGGCTCAGAGCGGAGAAACTGTGGAGTCACCTTCCTGACAGCCGTGATCCCAGCGGAGGTCGGACACAGCGCCGCTCAGCTCTCACACCGTGCACCAGCGCCCTACATGTGGCTTGTTCAGCGCCACATTTCCCACCTTCTTGTGCTTTCTGTTGGTGATTTCGCTGTTCAAAGGGGCCCCAAGCGTAGTGCTGAGGTGTCGTCTCATGCTCCTCAGTGCAAGGAGGCTGGGATGTGCTTCACAGAGGAAGCACGTGTGTGAGCTAGATGAGCTTCCTTCGGGCACAGTGAGCTCGATGTGAGCAAATCCACACGATACTAAATGAGGTGGGTTTAAACCCGTAAAACAAGGTGATGCCGCATCGATCGGTTGATGAGAATGTTGTGACCAGAGGCTCCTGGGAACCTAATGCTGTGTTTCCCCTCAAAGCAGATTCAGAACGTGCTCATTCAGTATCTGCGGCCACTCTGTGGGCCATAGCTGCCGCGGATGACAGGAGTCTGCTGTACGGCGATGAGACGTTTTGTCTCAAAGGTTTGCTCTCCCTTCTAGAATGTTGTGACCAGAGGCTCCTGGGAACCTAATGCTGTGTTTCCCCTCAAAGCAGATTCAGAACGTGCTCATTCAGTGTTCGCGGCCACTCTGTGGGCCATAGCTGCCACGGATGACAAGTCTGCTGTACGGCGATGGGACGTTTTGTCTCAAAGGTTTGCTCTCCCTTCCCCGAAAGACCTTCGCTTTACCTCTGTCCCGTCAGGTTCCTTAATACCCCGGAGGCCCTCGTGGGACAGTGCAGTCACTGGGTACAGCCCTCAGGTACGTCCCCAAGGGGAGGGCGGGCGGGGGCTGTGGCAGGACCCGGGGCTGGGATCCAAGTGGGGTCGCCTCCCTTTAACACCCCTTGGCTGTCTTTGAGTCTTTCAAATTGTGTGTGTTATACGCTCATTGTAGAAAAGCAAAAACTTTCCCCAAAATTCGGAAGTGTGTCTGAATAATAATAGCAGCACACACACAGCCACATGTACATGATTTTTTTAAATGAAATCATATTCTGTATAATGGTGTCCAGCTTGATTTTTTTTTTTCATGTAAGAAGTCTACCTTGGAGATTTTCTGTGTCGGTGCTTGTTGAGTTTTTTAAAATATATTTTTATTGATTTTAGAGAGGAAGGGAGAAGGAAAGAGAGATAGAAACATCAATACTGAGAATCATTGATCAGCTGCCTCATCTGATCAGCTGCCTCATGCACGCCCCCTACTGGAGATCGAGCCCGCAATCTGGGTATGTGCCCTTGACCGGAATCGAACCCAGGACCCTTCAGTTCGCAGATCAATGCTCTATCCACTTTGGCTAGGGCAAGTCAGCATTTTTTTTAAAATATGTTTTTATTGCTTTTAGAGAGAGGAAGGGGGGGAGAGAGAGAAACATGGATGTGAGAGAGACATATCCAATGGTTGCCTCCTGACCGAGGCCAGGGATGGAACCTGCAGCCCAAGGTATGTGCCCTTGACCAGGAATTGAACCCACAACCCTGCAGTGTGCGGCCGACCCTCTAACCATTGAGCCACCAGCCAGGAATAAACCATCTTTTAAAGCCAATCCCTACCACTGGTGATTTAGGCTGTTTTGTTGTGTTTGGGGTTGTTGTTTTTCCAGTAGTATTACTGTAGAACCTCTAAAAGCTCCCTAAACAGGAGACAGAATAAGACAGACATGGATCCTCCAGGTCGGTGAGGGCTCACTTTTTTATTGATTTGAGAGAGAGAGAGAGACAGGGATTTATGGTCCCATGTATTTGTGCATTCTTGCATGTGCCTTGACCATAGATCGAACCCACAGCCTTGGTGTATTGCAGTCACACTCTGCCTGGCCAGGGCAGGGCTCCCTTTTTTGTTGTTAATCTTCACCCGAGGATATTTCTCCATTGATTTTTAGAGCGAGTGGGAGGCAGGGGGGGAGAGAGAGAGAGAAGGGAAATGTCGATGTGAAAGCGACACATCTATCGGTTGCCTTTTGCACGCCCCAACCAGGGCCAGTGATCGAGCCTGCAACCAAGGTACATGCCCTTGACCAGAATCGAACCCAAGACCCTTCAGTCCTTGGGCCAGTGCTCTATCCACTGAGCCAGACCCGCTAGGGCAGGGCTCACTGTTTAATTGCCTGACACCCCTGGGTTCAAATCATGGCTCTGCCGCTCACGTCCCTCTCCCCTCCAGCCTTTGTTCTCGCTCCTTAAAGGAGCCCCCAGCTCTATCTCTACAGTCAGGCAGGCCCGCCTGCTGGAACCAGCCCGGGGCTTCCGTGGGTGCGGGTGCCTCTCTGAGCCGCAGCTAGTGTAGAAAGGGGCCAGGAGCAGCCCCACCCCCGCGGTTGCCCAGAGAATGCAACACAGGCCTGGGCTCAGAGCTGCCTCGGCGTCTGCTGCAGCCCTAACTCCATGAGCTTTTCCTCCCAGACCGCAGGCTGCTATAGACATTCGGAGTGGGGACTATTGTGACTTGTTTTGGTGTCATAATTGGCACTTTTTAAAAGAGCGAAATGGTATTGTGCTTATTTAGGGGGGGAAAAGCCTTTATCATTTAAACCATGTCCCTGGGACCTGTGTCTGCAAAGCCAGTGAACTAGGAATTGTTTTACATTTTGAAATGGTTGGGGGTGGGGCGGGTGCAGGGGATCAGAAGAGGACTGTGAACCTTCCCTGAAGTTCAGGCTGCAGCAGCCCTAAAGGTCTGGGCACGGCCACGCCCATTCGTTGACCTGTCGCCTGTGGCTGCTTTTGTGCGAGAGCAGCTGAGCTGAGTCCTTGCAGACACAGACCCAGGGGTGCGTAAGGCCAACAGCGTCTGCTCTCTGGGCTTTACAGTAGACGTTTGCCGCTAGAGACACACGAAATGTTTGCAGGAAAATGACCTGAGTAGCTGAGGTCTGCGTGAAAACCATCCAACGGGAAGGGGTAGGGCTCGGATGAAGCAGGTTGGCTGTGAGTTGACAGCGTTGAGACCGGGTGATGGGATCGCGGTGT